GCCAAAGCCCCAACCCCCCTCGGCTGCCCGGGGAGGATGAGGGGTGTTGTGGGGACCACCCGTGTCCCGGCCCCGCAGCCGTGGGGCTCTGGGCCCCCAGCCCTCGCTGCCCCCTGCCGCAAGATGACAGGAGGGGAGGTGGGTGCCGTGCCGAACGGGGGCCAGGACGGAGCTGGGGGCTGCACAGCGGCATCCCTGCGGTCGGAGGCCGGAGGTCGACCATGGTCCCCGTAGCATCCCGATGCCGGAGCACCCGAGGGTCCTGCAGCCCACGGCCCCCGGACAGCCCGGCCACTGCCCTGCGGCGCCTGGGGACACAGGGCGAGCGCAGCCCAGGCCCTGGTTTGCCGCCTGCCTGCCCTGCCCTGCCCTGCCTGCTGCCAGCGCCCTGCCTGCACAAGGCCAGCTCTGTTCTCCTGGGAAGTTGGCGGCCTGCAGCACCTTTAACCCTTTCTGGCCCCCCCGAGGTGCCGGGGCGCAGGCGGCCTGGTGGGGCCACGGGGCACAGCCCGTGTGGGTCACGGCGCCTGTGGGGCACAGCACCCGTGGGGCACCGCAGGCGCCTGCCCCTTCCCAGCCCTGCGCCCTGGCCCCGCCGGAAGGGAACCGGCGGAGGAAGAGGAAGAGTCAGAGCACGATGGGGTCTGCATGGCAACCAGCCCTGGGACTCAGCACCCCCCACCCCAGCGGGACCCCAGCCACCCTCCGTGCCGCCAGGGTGCTCAGCCGGCATTTGGGGTGCTGGGGAGAGGGCGCGAGCAGGGCTGTGGGTGATGCACCACGACCTCCCCCCTCATTGCCACTCTCCGGGACGGGAAAAGCGACTCATCTCTTCTTCAGCAGAAAAGGGAAGCAAAACCCGCTCGCCATCGCTCGCAGCCGGGGCATCCCCCTGCTGGGTTTTTCCGCCAGGGGAGCGGAGCAGCCGCCCCTGCGGGCTCCCTTCCCGCTGCCGGCCTGGCCGGCCCCGGCCCCGCGGCACCCAAACCTGACCCAACCTGACCAAACCCAACCCAAGCGTGCCGCGCGGGCTGCGCCCCGTGCGCCCCGCACCCCACCCCACGTACCGTGCACCACACGCGGTGCGCCCTGCGCTCTGCGCCCCACACCCTGCACCACAAACCCTGCGCGGCGCCCCGTGCACAACTGCCGCCGCGTCGCGCACCGTGCAGCCCACGCTGCGCCCACACTGCGCCCCACACCGTGCGCCCCACACCGTGCGCCCTGCACCCCACTCCCCACCGCAGGCACCCCACACCAGGCACCCTGCGTGGTGCCAGCAGCGAGCAGAGCCAGCAGCCAGCACGTCGCTGCCTGCGCTCGTGGGCCGGGCAGCGTGCCCGTCCCAGACAGACGGACTAGCCCGGACCGACCCGGGGCTGTGGGGCTGGGGGTCAGCAGCCATGATCTCTCTTGCTCTGTCGGGGAGAGCAGCACAGTGTGGCCCCCCCAGCACTGCCGCCGGCTCAGCAGGCAGAAGGAGGAAACTAATAAAATCTATAAATACGGAGCAAGAACCGCGTGGGGCTGAGCGCGCCGGCCCCGCGCTTCCACGGGAGTGGGGAGGGGGCGGTTTCTGCCACGGCCGCGGCGGGGACCCGGTGCTGGCGCGGCCGAGACGGGGTCCCCACTCCGCAGGACGTGCCCTGAGGTGCACTGCCACCGGTACTCCCGGCTCTGCCTCGGGGCCCTGCCGTCGCAGCTAAAATAACTTCCATGCTGAGTCAAAGGATTTTGATTTTCCTCATTTTCCAGCTGCAGGCTTGTTGTGACTAATTTCCTCATTTTATTTCCCTCCCGGGCCGGTGAGCTCTGCCGCCGGGTCTTGCTCTGCCCCTCGGCACGGCCACGGCTGCTCCCTACCTCGGCCTCCTGCTCGAGGCGCTGCCCAAGCCCGCAGCCCCCGGGGCCCGAGGCCGCCCCCGACC